AAATACTTAATAATTGGACAGATCTCACTTCTTGCATTTATTAGCTTATTTTTATGCACTAGTTCCTTTTGATTCTCTTCGTTTGGCAAGGTGCATTTCTTATAATAAGAATCCAGCACATAACTGTCCAAAGAATGAAAGAATGCCTTCACTGTGTTTCCATTACTATCCCACTGGGTCAAAATTAGGCTAATTATATTTCTTAAAATAGAGGTGATTGAGGAAACCCAAAGCAGGATAAACATTCAAATAATATCTGAAATTCCATTTTAGAACAGGTTCATGGTTTATTCAACCCAGGATTACATCTCCATTAGGGCAACAGCGGGAGTGTTGTCAGAGAGGGTGGAGGGTCTGCCTGCAAGTCACACTCACAAAAGACAAGCTGTCACACACACCAAACAGGTTGTCATACACAACTTATTACTGTTTCACTGACTTAAGTTCTTTCTGATCACATTTATAGAGTTGGCCTGCACTCTTTCTGGAGAGTGCTGTGTTCCATGAATATAGCACTTGCTGGCTTCGTATTGCTCTAACATTTCAAAGCATCTAGTAATGTCAACTCATTACAGTCTTACTATTTTTCCACTTACCATTATTCCAGCTTGCCTCTAAATATGTTCTTACAATTGAAAATTCTCTATGTCTGCATTCTGAGATTTCTTTGCCAAAATATGTAATGCCTAGATTAAATCTTGAGAAGTAATCCTAGGGGTTAAGTAGTTCCAGGGGGATAGAGAAATGATTTAGGAGAAGGTTTAATTTTAAGTGGGCTTGAGAATGAGGAGCCTGATAGAATCTAGGAGTAAAAACAAAGGTTTTCGTCAGGCTTAAGTACTTCAGAAAGTCACTATAGTATCATAGAAATGGCATGTTTTGGAGACAGCAGTTCTGGGTATGAATCAGACGTCTGTTTATTCCATAGCTGTGAGACTATATAGAGTAGGGAGCTTTAGTGTCCTTATTGATAATGCAGGGATAATAATTATTATTTCATCAGATTCTCTTGAGAATTAGATGGTAGAACACTGAAAAACACCTAGCGTAACATCTATCATAACACAAAACAAACAGAATGAACTATACATTTAAGATGAAGATAGGTACCCAAAATTTCACAACAGGTTCACTTTTCCCAATTTAAAAAAGAATAGCCTTGGTTGATGTTCTTCTAAAAAAAAAAAAAAAAAAAAGTCATCCCAAACTCCTAAATAATAATTCTATTAAAATATGGACTAAACTTTTGAAAGTAGAAACTGAGACAAATATTTTATCTCAAAGCTGGTGAGGCATAGGTGGAACCTCTCCCAGACCTGCCCATGGAGCAGGGCAGGAACCGGTATGTTTGTTTTTGGTATGGTACATCAACAATCTCATCCGCAAGGTTCTCAGGAGTTCATTTAGAGTAGGTCTTGCCACTAATGGTAAACAAAAAACAGCTGCTAAAGAAGCGTGAACAGCCCTGGCAAGTCATCAACAGGGCTTTATAAAGAATACACTGTAAGCCAGGCTAATGCACCCATTAGAGGTCAGAAAGCCTGTGGACACATTGGAAGGAACAGCTCTAGTTTTTCTTCCCCACATGTGTATCTTGGTAGACTTATTTGTTTGTTTGTTTATTTATTTAATTTATAAAATTTTTTTAGTACTAAGACTTTTAAATCAGGACTTTGTGAGATTTATAAACACCGAACTGGGAGAAGAAGGACTTGTGGACGTGTATCTGATTAGCATTTTTTCTAGGGAAGGGTTACTCCCAGTGGTTCAGCAGTCACATGAAAGGCATTAGAACCACCTTCCATACCTGTCTTACCAAAGCTTTTCACAGAAGAGCTCGGTTTAATCCTATTTCACGATGGTGACAATAACAACCTGCAGCTGCTGTCCAGGTGGGCAAAGGATTAGGGACTCAGATGTACTCTGGGACGTGAGTCAATTTCTCAAGCACTTCTGAGTGTCTTAGTGACCAGAGGCATATTGTGGAGCTTTGGAATACAAACGTGCATAAGTTGTGGTTCCTGCCCTTGAATAGCTCATGGTCTAATGTCATATTAGGTGAGACAGACACAGAGATATATGACACGCACTATAAAGTGGTAAATGTAAATAGAGATATGGAAGTACAGAGGCGTAGGTAGGTCAGTTTGAAGATTCCATGGAGGCTTTGTGAAGGATACAGTGCCTCAACTGACTCACTGGGATAGGAGGAGGTCGCTGGGTGAGGCTAAGTGACAGGGGCCATTGAAGGTGGTGGCATTCTAGGCAGGGGCCTGTGTGAAGTCATGGAATTGTATTATCACACTGTGGAGCAAGAGTAAAGCCTACCGTGGGAATGTGCTAGAAAAGGGACTAGAGAAGCAGGTAGTGGCCAGGCCATAAAAGACTATATGTACCATTAAATATCTTGGTTTTTATCTTGTAAGAAAAGGAGAATATCGAGGTGTTTTTAAGAAGGGAATGTCATGGTCAACTTTCCATTTTAAATACATCATTGTGATAACAATCTAGAATTTGGATATGAAGTAGCAAAGGGAGACTAATTAAGAAGCTATTGAAATGGTTTATGCCAAAGATGCTAAGGGCCTAAATGAGGAATGAAGTCGAAAGAGTGAAGGGGAATATAGATTCAATCAGATTTGAGGTACAATTGGCAAAAATTAGACTAAATGAACAGAGCCATTCAATAAAAGTGTTTTAGAGGAAAGAGTATAATTTAGCAGGTGCAGATGATAAATTCAGCTTTGAACATGTGAGGACTGTAACGCTTAATGAAACTATCCCAAATAATTATATACAGCAAGCATTTGAATCATGAGAGAGGTCCAGGCTAGAGATAAAACATTTCAGATCCTCAGTAGACACATAATAGTCAAACAAAAAGAATTGTATTACCTAAGGAAAACACATTCATTCATTCATTGATTCACTCAACAAACACTTAATGGACACCTGCTCCATGACTGACACTTTTTTAGACTCTGTAATTGAAGGAGTGAACAAAATAGTCTCTGCTTCTATGGAACGCAAATTCTATAACCCAGATTGGAAAGAGCATTGGGGTCAGGAAACAGTGTACATGGAGGCAGGGAACATCTCAAGGAGACTAAGAAAAGAAGAAGACCAGAAGTAGGCTCTTAGGAGTTAAGGAAAGAAAGAATCCTAAAGAGACCGTCAACAAAGTCAAATATGGCAGACATGTTCGCTTAAATAAGACCTAAAGTGTGTTCACTGGGTTTGGAAATGTGGAAACCAGGCTGACCTGCAGGAAAGCAGTTTTAATGGAGTGTGGGGCATAGATTAGGTAATAGGGTATTTAAGAGCTTGAAGAAAATTGGAGGCACTGAATATAAAATACATTTAAAAGAGATTTGGGTGAGAAGTGAAATATATAGGATGGAGGCTAGAGGGGGAAGGACATTTAGTGCAGAAATCTTGAAAACTTATCTTTTGTCCCGATTTTGCATTTCCAATAGATTCTATACATCTTTATCTTGATATTCCACAAACAATACAAACTTAACAACTAACTAAAGCATCAGAAATCCCTATTTTTGTATATGCCCTCACTATTCATTCATACCCTGGCTTTAAACTTTGCCTACTTTCCAGAAATTTTATGTTTAATCATTAGCAGGACCTGCCTTTTCTTCACTTTCTTTCTTTTTTTATAATTTTTTAAAAAAAGATTTTATTTATTTATTTGAAAGAGAAAGAGTGTGTGCATGAGTGGGGGAAGGTGGGACGAGGAGGAAGAGAAGGGTGGAAGAGGGAGGAGGAAGGGGAAGAAAAGGAGGGAGGAGAAGGGAGGGACAAAGGGAGAGGGAGATGCTGACTTCCCACTGAGCAGGGAGCCTGATGCAGGACGTGATCCCAGGACCCCGAGATCATGACCTGAGCCTAAGGCAGGCGTTTAACCGACTGAGCCACCCAGGCGCCCCTTTTCTTCACTTTCTTTTATCCCCTCTCTACTGCAGACCCCTCTCTACTACAGACCCTTAGTACATGGTTGATTTTGTCAGCCTAACAAAAGTGCTCTCTACTCTTGTGTTTTTGCTTAACAATCCACCCTAGTCATCAGTGCCAAAATCATCTTGCTAAAACACATTCCTGTTCATGTTATTCCCGGATCTAAAGGCTTTAAGGGCTTTGCAGTGCCAACCAAGTTAAATGCAAACCCACTAACCTGGTATTCAAATTTCTCCATAATGTGGTTTTAATCAAACTTCTCTTACAGTTATTTTCTCTAAACATGTACCCTGAGATCCAGTCAAATTGGCTTGATCACTGTTTCCTAAGTTTGATATTATTCCCATCTTGGACATGAATTCTCCTCTACTTTGTCCAAATTTTATCTCTCCTTTAAATCCCAGTTCAGTTGTCTCTTTCATCATTTTTTTTTCCAGAATCCCTACATTGCATTTATCCTTTTAATGACTATCATACTTTATCCACAGTGATGTTCTTTGCATTGTAGATACTTATAAACTATGTTTACATCCTTGACTGTATTTTAAGACCTATGAGAGCAGAGAACATATTTAACATGTTTTTATTATCAGTATCTTGCAGAAGGCACAGTGGTTGTTTAATACATGTTTGGCAAATATAAGTGAACTCCCAAGGATATAAAAATATAAAATTTTGGAGCTCAAAATGACCTTAGCAATGATACAGTCAAATTCTTATATTTTACAGATGAAGGAATTGAAGCTAAAAAATGTCCAGGGACTTGCACAACTTACGTGGCTGGTCAGTGACAAAGCTGTGCTGCAATCCTACCTCTTGATGCTCAGTCCAGTTCTCTCTCCATCTCATGACAGCACCTGTTTGGGAAGCTTGAATGGAGCCACCATCTTTGTCATCATTGTCCCTGACTCCTCTGTCCCTGGCACCATCATTAGTGTTAAAGGCATAGAGTCCTTTCCAGGCTCACAAGTTCATGAATCTATAACCTAAGGAAAAACTGGAAGAAGGCTCGAGAAGCCCACCCAACTTACCAGGCGAAAGAGGGAAATGGTATTCCCAGTGATGTTGTAGTGCGCCAGAACCTCAGAATCAGTGCTGATTCCAAATGACACATCTTGGAATTTTTGCACCATACTATGGAATAGGGACACTGCTGGTATTTCTAAATACTGAAAACAAGAGGAAAAAAAAAAATCCACAGGGATTATGTTAGAGAGGAGAAACATAGAGAATAGGGAATAGAAATGTGCTCACTCATATTAAAAAAATCATAGACTTGATTTATTGTCAGGTGAAACAACATTTACCTCTAAGAATGCAGGCTAAATTTGTAGTGGGATTGTTGAATTTTCCAGGCGGGGTGGGCTAATAGGTAACTACAGAATTGTAGCTCAGCCTGAAACTCCTGTCTGGCCTTATCATAAAGCTTGTAGTTTATTAGCAGAGAGGGGCCTCCATATCAGAGAGGCCTGCAGAGCTGGGCTGCACTGTCACCGATCCACCCGAAGAGGCAAATGTTTTGGGAACAATTTGTGGAGGAAAGAAGAAATGCAAAAATAAGAAATAGGTGCTGTCAAAGAGCCAAAAAGGGGAAAAAAAAAAAGAATAAAGGAAATTAAAATGGAAGCTTAGAAGTTTTATGAACAAAGGTTTGTGCAGGATGTGGAAGAACGGTCTTCTTTTCCTGCATTAAACCTGAGGTATTGCCCGTGAAGCTATTGTTCCTGTGTTGTTCCAACTCTAGAACCCAGGCCTGCAGGAGGGGGCAGGGAAGCCACGTCTAAATTAAGATTGCAAGATTCTAGTTCTTCCATAACAAGCCGCCATCATTTTCCCTGCTGTCACAGGACCTTTGCCCAGAGCAGCTCCAGGAATAAACAGGAGGGAGCATGGCCTTTTCTGACATCTTTCTGGGCCGGAGGGGGAGAAGTGCAAAAAGAAAAGAAACTGACTAGCCTTGCCTCTGGGGTCAAGCAGAGGGAGTGGGTATCTTGCTCCTTGGAAAGGGTGTGTGGAGTTCATTCGAGGCTAAGAACAATTGCTAATCTAGGCTTCCCCCTTTTTGATTCTCCTTAGCGTGGAATTACTCATGGATCAAATGATGGACGGCATCTGGTGGCTGCTTAAGTTATTGCAAATGCCTCCATTCCCACTTTCATTGCCTTCCTGAGGGTGGCTGTTGTGGTCTCCAGCACAGATTTCTCATCGCGGAGAAATGGGCTCCCCTGTCTTCCTTCCCCACTTGCATCTCATTGCAGCCATTTCCAACTGTGTACACAGAATCGCCAGGGTGGTGGCGAGTAGTAACTAATTAATGGAAATGGATAAGAAGGTCTGCAATAAGAGCAGGGGCTTGATCTGTGAGAATAATCAGATGTTACCTTCAAAGAAAGAAAAAGTGCTGGAGCGGTGCCCTTTCATGTATGATTACTTTCATTAGCCAGGCAGCCAATCTGGAAGATGGCAGCTAATGCCTCCAATGTTCAAAAGGTCAAACTTTTTCAACATTTCTGAACAAACGAAGAGCTAGAAGGATGAGGGACTACCTATTTGGTAAGGCTTTAGACAGAGATTAGCCATTGGCTGTGTTTCCTGGATGATAGAAGTTGAGTTTACTCTGGCCCCTGCCTCCGCAGTCCCGATATGGACTTAAGATTCAAAGCACTCCTAGATGAGGAGCCTCAGAACTCTTGAAGCAAGTGTGAGAAAGATATAATTCAGAGACTGGGAATGTCTTGAAATTGAGAGGTCTCGACTGAGAAGCTGAAAGCAGACTCTGTGCCCTTTGACTTCTAGTGCAGTATCATCTGGCCAGCAGGTGACGGTCATGGCTGCTCTGAGCTAAGATGTTCCTGGTTCTTTGGGGGAACAGAAACGGGGTACCTGGACAAACCTGGAAGAAACCTATGACAGCCACCTCAGCAGCAGCAATGAATTCCACGGTCGCTGGGACATCTGTGAGTGACACAGTTTTCTGGGAAGCAGCAGAACCATCTAGAGAGTGAGAGAGAGAGAAAGAAGGAGAAAATGTTGGGGTATCAAGTGGAGGGGAGGAGTTCTAAATGCTGAGGGCCTCTCTACTTTTTCTCTATATACTATGGCCAAAGAGATCACGGTCATCATCCCAAGGCCTTATTATTTTACTAACATATGGAGGGTGACTCCACCTTATGGTTTCACTCTGAAGGACGATGCTAGACTTCTCTTTTCTCCACTGGGCAACACAGGCCTTTATCCATTTTCCATTTCCTGAAAATGTTCTCTGTTTGGAGGAAAAGTACTTAGAGCATTCCCACGTTCCCTTCCCTTCCCCTAACAACAATGGTCACCCAAGTGCTTTTTTCTTTTACCTGATGATTCCTGAACTTCTGCAGCAACTTCTGGGGATAGTTGCCATGCGAAAAGAAATAATAGAAACAGGAGTCTGGATTGGTCAGCTTCCATTGTTCTTTTCCTGCTCCTTCTCCAAGCCCTGGACTTTGTGTTTTAGGAGACCGAGTCAGGGCAGCCCGCTCCTGGTAAATGGCTGTGGTGTTGTTAGTGTTCTGGGAACTATGCAGCTGGCTCTATGGGAACCTTCAACTTCTGAGATAAGAGACCAAGTTCCATGACAGGATCTCAGAACATAACCAACCAGAAGAAAGTCGAGGCTGTTCATTTGGATTAAAAAAAAAAAAAAAAAAGGAAATATTCTTTGCAGGTATTGATCTAAGCACTAGGGATGCAAAAGGTAACTATGATCTGATCCAGCCTTCCCCGGCTTGGATTGTTAGTGTGAGATGGACAAATAGGTCATTTAAATATAAAACGGGATGTGATAAAAAATTGAGACACTCATAGGGTACTATGAGAATACAGACTTAAGGACATTTAGGACAGTGGTAGGGTTCAGTGAAGGTTTTCTTCCTGCAGCAGATGCCTAAGCAGAATCCTCTGTAAATAGGATGTCGTCAGGCAACAAAGGTGGAAAGAGAGTTTCATACAAAGAGTGAAACACGGAGATGCAAATGTAATGTGTGAGAGAATTATTAGTAATTGAAATTAGGCCAGATTGTAAGGGGCATTATACAATAAGTGTAGGATCTTATTCTCTAGCTGATGGGATTACATTGAAAAATCATAAGCAGGTAAGAGGCAGTGTCTGATTTGGCCCACAGGTGCCCTCAGAAATCCAAAACGGGATTCCCATAGGCAGTGAAATATAGAGGTCTCAAGCTCAGGAGAAAGTTCCATGTGGTACTACTATAAAGTAAAATAACTCAAGATTTCTAATACTCATATTCTGAATATCCGTTGCTCATTGCCCTGGAACAGGGAGACCAAACTCTTCCTGGTGATGTAAATACCTTTTCTACTGTGTCCAGCCCACATGCCCTCTGAGGAAACTAACAAATGTGAACAATTTAGTTATCATATTTGTTTGAAGGAAGAAAGCAGGGAAATGAGGGTCTCAGTTGGATCATTTAATTGTTTTATTTACTCTCTTGTGCTGTTTACAGTCTCCCAGAAAAGAAGAACCTCAACTGGTAGGGAATGTGATTAGGAACCTTCACTGAGCCAGCAGCAACCACAGAAGAATCCAGGGATGGGAATGAGCTACTGGAACCCAAGGCAAAAGGACTGTTGGTGGTGGTTTGCCAATTTCCTGGCCTCTAGTTGCTCAAATGGGGAACATAGAAGGAAACATTAAATGACTGGGTATTGAAATGAAGAATTTTGAAGTTCTGGCCATGATAGGGGACCAGAAGAAATGCGCTGGATTAAAGCCTGGGTTTTAAGCATGTCGTGCTTAGGGAACACTTTGAGAGACATTGTGGGATAAGATGTGTGGATAACAGAATGTGGGGAGCATTGGGGAAGGGATCCAGCTGTGAACATGGAGGAGGGACAAGGTGGTGAACATGACTGAGAGGGTACTTCTGGGTGGCAAGGTAGGGAAAGGGATGGGCAGATGCACTCATTCTGTCCACTCCTTCTTAATGGACAGGTTCCACTCCCAGGTAAGGTGGTCGTGCTTGTCATCGTCGGTGAAGAAGGACTTGTTGTGGTAAGTGCCTCGGGCCAGCATGCCCTTGGGAGCCTCCTCAGTTGGAGTCAGGAACTCATACTCCTCTGGCCGAGGTCCATAGCTGCCAACCATAAACGTTGCTTTGTCCACTAGGAAGAATGACAAGGTCATTAGGGTAAGCATTTGACAGAGGAAAAGCAAAGACAGAAAACTGGAAAATCTGGAGCACAGCCTACAGTGACCAAAACCAAAAGCCACAGTTTCCAAGCCTGGGTAAACATCACATTTACCTGGGCATCTTTTTTTTTTTTTTTTTTTTTAACCTTTAAAATATATATATTTTTAATTGGAGTGCCTTGTAATAATACAGTTTCACTATCAGAGACTATGGATCAGTAATCTGCTATGGGCAGTGTCAGAATCAGTGTTTTTATTTTATTTTATTATTTATTTATTTAAGATTTTTATTTATTTATTTGAAAGAGTGTGAGCAAGAAAGACCACAAGCAGGGGGAGAGTCAGAGGGAGAGGGAGAAGCAGACTCCTCACTGAGCAGGGAGCCGGATACAGGGGTTTGATCCTAGGACTCTGGGGATCATGACCTGAGCTGAAGGCAGGAGCTTAACCGACTGGGCCACCCAGGCACCCCAAGAATCAATGCTTTTAAAAAACCTCACAGCTGATGCTATCAGAAAAGTTGGGAAATCAGCACCTTAAATCTACGGGGATCAAGACTCTTCTTTTATAGAGATGTAGCAGGTTATACCATTAAAAAAATCCTTCATTAATTGAGACCCGAGTTCTGGTCTTGGCTCTGCAACCACTCACGTCATATGACATTTCTGGGCCTCTGTTTCTTTCTTTATATAATGAACTACAAGGATTTTCTATCTACAAACTATTATCCTATGAACATATCCATTGTGGGAGGTAAGGTAACAACAGCTGGTGATCAGAATGAACAGAATTCATGGATGGAAGACTTGGATGGAAAGGGAAAACCAATGCTTCGGTAAAAAAAAAAAAAAAAGTGAAGAACTGGAACAAATGTTGAAAATAGCCAACCAAAATTATTAATAGGTGAGTAACTGGGACATATATTAAGAAAAAGAGGGCATTAGAAAGTATAACTAAAGGTAGGCAGGCAGATAGGCAGGCAATGTGTAGTTAGCTGTTAAGTGTTATGAATAAGTTTGGAGAAACAGCTACAGACATATCATCGTCCTCTTGCCTAAGTGAGGCAACATAGACTCTAGACCCAAGGGAAAATAGGAAGTTGAACTATTTTTTTTCATGAGACTTGGTCCTGGAAAGACCAGTTAAGATCTTCCAGGTCAACAACCTTCTGTGGGATCTGAGTAATTGAATGGTCGTCCAAGTCATGCAAATTTGTCAAACGATTTCCCCTCGAATCCTTTGTTTATTAATTTGGGGGAACTGACCTGTCCTTACTGTTTCCCACCCCTGGAAGAAGAGAGCCCCTGAGGCAAAAGGGAACTGTACAAGTATTTCCATCACCTTTCCAATTTTCATTTCTCCCTGCCCATAATAATGGAAGGAAACTGAAGGCAGTTCCCCAAGGCACGTACAGTTTAGGTACAACTTTTCAAGAGCAACGGCAGCTCAAATAGTGTTGTATTGTGTCTCAATCACAGCTTTTCCTAATTCTAGAAAGAATTCCATTTCTTTGTTTTAAAAATTAAGGGCTGCCCCCTGCTTCCCCATCCCCACTCCACACCTGCCCACACGCTACTTACAACTCCCATTCCCAAAAAAACCACACTTGCCGCTGGATAGAACCTTCCAGTCTTGGATTTCTCTGACACTTAAGTTTATACCTCTGAAGTGCTTTTTTTGACTCTGTTTTTATTCAAAGTTATCTTTTTTTTTTTAAGATTTTATTTATTTATTTGACACACAGAGAGAAAGAGACAGCTAGGGAGGGAACACAAGCAGGGGGAGTGGGAGAGGGGGAGGGAGAAGCAGGCTCCTGGCCGAGCAGGGAGCCCGACGCGGGGCTCGATCCCAGGACCCTGGGATCATGACCCGAGCCGAAGGCAGACGCTTAACGACTGAGCCACCCAGGCGCCCCATATTCAAACTTATCTTGGTTACTCTTCCCCTTTGTGAATACTAAACTTAAATCACAGAAGCCAAATGCTGAAGGTTAGTCCTTGACCTAGTCTAAACTAGATCTCTGAATGTAGGCCTTGCCATTAATGTCTAGGTCAGAGGTGTATGTGTGCTCTTTCCTAGGGAGAGTGTCCACAGCTTTTTGTCAGATTCTTAAATGAGTCTATGACTAAAATTGTTGATAAGCAGAAGTTCAAGTATCAGTGGGGAGCAGAGTTTGGGACAGTGTGAAGTGTGGGTCCCTTACCTTTCACCCCAGTCCGGTAGGTATGCTGAACGTATTTCAGGCCCGACACAATATCCCTGTTCACCTGTAGGTGGGAAGGATCCAAGCAATTCAGATTAGAAGCAGCCTTTCATTTTCCCTTACCCTTCATGCTTATCCTATCTAGCTGAGTCTCCTTTGAGTTCTTCTTTGAGGATGAAAGAAGGTTAAGATTTAATTCAGAATAAGTATTATCATTTAGTGTGGGTGGCGAGGCAGAGATTAGAAAGAGGAGATCGTAAGATTCAACATTGCCAACCTGGTTTTAATCATCGAATACTGTGCTGTTTGGTTGGGGGCGGTGCTACTTAAGTAAAACATTGTCTCAATGTTCTTCATTACATTTCTCCTTCCTCTAAAGGTCCAAAGAATGGTCTTGAGCTCCCCCTGCCTGAAACTATTGGCCAAAGACAGTCCTTGTCTTAGGAAAGGCTACAAAGGTACCAATGGAAATTGTTATGTGAGGACCTGAAAACCCTAACCTCAGAAATGATCCACCTACCATGAAAAACAAACAACAAGGAGAAAAGCTGTCATGGAAAATCAATCAGGTCTAGAAGAGGGTTGTGCCCGTTATGTCGCTGAGATTGGAGTCTAAAGATGAGGAGTTTCTGCCCCACAGAAACATCCTCCCCGCATAAAAATAATGGGCGAAATCCACTTGTGTCTGGCAAGCACTGTGGATGTCTCTTCTTTTCAGATGTTGTCTGAGATGTCACCACTTCCCCAAGCCTTTCAAAGCAAGGTCACTAAAGCAGGATGAAAATATACACAGCCCAAGCACTTTGTTTTTCCATGATTCATTTTGCCTAGGCCTGACCTGCGTTGTCCATTCGTTTTATACAGGGCTCGTGTTTATACAAACAAAGCGAACGTTGCGTCAGTAGTTGGACAGCCTGCTGAATTGTTCGCCAAGATGAAGAATGAAAGCATCTTCACATAATTTCGCCCCATGGTAATTATGGCTGCCTTTTTGTTTTGGACAGAGTGATTAAACCCATTTATCAGTGTGACATTCTGCTGTGTGGGTGACGAGGAGTCACAGCTGTGAACACCATCAGCTTAGGTTTCAGACTGTCACTCAGTAAAATCCATGGTATGGATCTATCAAAAGCAGACAGAATGCAAACAGCCTCACTGAAGAAATTGTGTGAAAATGACACCCGAACTTTCTGATTACTCTGCCAGATGTGGCTCATGCAAGTAGAAAAAAGTGAATGCCTTCTTCTGGAAGTCTCTAAGCTCGTCCTTTGGGCCTCGTGGGAGATGTGGTCTGGTGGCAAAAAGTCTGAAAAACGGGAATGGTGAGTGCTGCTCAGCAATAAGGACTTCAAATCAGAGTCCCTTGTTTTTTCTACTGCTCCATAGAGGGTTCATTTTATTTATTTATTTATTTTTTAGAGAAGGGGGAGGGGCCGAGGGAGAGGGAGAGAAGCTTAAGCATGCTCCATGCCCAGCCTGGGGCCCAACGTGGGGCTCGGCCTCAGGACCCTGAGATCCTGACCTGAGCTGAAATCAAGAGTGGGATGCTTAACCAACTGAGCCACCCAGTGCCCTGAGGGTTCATTTAATATAAATATGTTTGAGATGGGTAAGAGAAAAATATGAATATTCATCATATTCTCTTCCTCCATCTGCACGCTTCTCCCCATCACTCCCCCTCACCCCAGGAGGAAAAAACCTGGGTGACATGAGAGCTGTGAAAGTCAAAGATACTACATTTCCTTGGGAGGCAGAAGGAAAAGGCAAAGAAACTAAAGGAACCATCCCAAACCAGGTTTTGGAGAGAGCCATGACGCTCTCTCCAAAAGCGGGGGGTGGGGGTGGGGGTGGAGCGGGGTGTTGGAGAAAGAGAAGAACACGGAGTGCAATTAAGAGAGAGATAACGCAAGAGGATTTTAGGATCTGTTGCTGGTGTTATAAATGCAAACTTTCTTGGGTATTTTTCAACAGATGTCAGTAAAGATCTAAATTGCTTCTCAGTTATTTACAGTTTTGAGCTGGTGCTTCTTCTGATGGTAGCTCCATGCTGGGACAGGTTGGTTAAACTTTGTGTGGGTTATATAGAGAGAGTGGTTTTTCTCTTACTTGAGAAATGCTAAGGGTCTGCAGCAGATGGGACTTGAAAACCCCTTTCTGTGCCCCCGTCCTCCAGCACCCTAATGTGTAACACTGACCGCTTGCTACATTCTCTTTGGCCTTCCCACCCATAGCTGAAGCCCATGCCCCAGACTTTTCCTTCTGATCTTATTCCCATCAATATTTACCTGTCCTGTTTCATTTGGTTTCAACCGGCTTACTAAATTGATAAATTAAGGTAGTAGTTTTAATGATTAAAAATTAAGCCAGTGTGTAACCCATTCTAAGCATATTGGGATACAATGCCTTGGATATAATTCTAGGCATATTTGGATGTGATATCAAACTCTTAGGTGCTTCGATAATAAATAATACTATAGGAAATAAGCAAGTGAGCCATAGCTCAGTGCATATTATACAGTAGGCATCAACAACTATTTTCAGAATGAAATTATTTTGAGGCATATTTATATGTGGAACACAGGGATTGTTCCTAGACCCTGAATTCATCCTGCACTGGGGCGTAAGAAGAGCTCAGTGTGCAAACACAGAGGGCAGATGGGGTCTTCCTTGGTGGCCTTGAAGGGCCCTGCCCTGCAGGATATGGCTGAGAAGGGCAACCAAAGCAAATATAAGCAATTAAGAGCAAACAGTACATTTCTGACTTATTTGGTTTCAGCCAAGATTATTTTTCTTTTTGCTTTTGGCCGATCATTGGTGTATGTGTCTATTCATTATATGTCAATTTATCTCCTGTTTAGTCTTGCTCTTTCATATTTGCTTGCTCCACAGCTATCATTGTAATTTCCAGTTATTTACCAAGGTCCACACTCCCTGGATTTATATAAGCATTGAGCAATTAGAACTGAGGCTCTATCTGTTCCATTTTTTACTATTAATCGATTCATTCATGTATCGATGTCTCAATACATATTCACTAAATATCATTTACAAAGTTTTGTGTAAAATGTTGGAAAGAAGAGATATATAATCTCTCCCTTTCTCAGGGTGCTTGGACTGTACAGGGAAGAAATGGCAAAACTGGTACAATATAAAGCAGGGTGTGCTTCATGGTTGGGAGCATTCGGAGTTCACAGAGGGGTCCTGTTGGTTAGGTGATCAACGGAGAGTTCAGGGAGAGGGTCCTGGTCGGGAAAAGGTGGGAAGCAGGGGTGGGCCTCGACAGGTAGAGCTCAGAGTTGGGGAGAGACAGTCCAGATCCAGGGGGAGAAAAAAAGAAACAAAAAACTATGACAACATGGTAATGCAAGATGATTTTTTTCTTTCTCTGATTATAGGAAGAATGTAGACTTTATGAAAACATACAGGGCAAGATACTTACTTTGAAGTGAATTTTGACTCTGTATTCAACACCTTCCTTTAGCACGAAAGTTTCTTTTTTCAGGGCTTCAAGATCTCCTGTAGAAGTGGATTTAGAGAGAGTTTATTCTCCTCAGAAGGAGAAATACAAGGAGATGAATGGAGTTTAAACTCCAGAGCTGTTTGCTGGGGCTGTCAGAATAACATGGTCCACATGGCCTTCAGTTCGAAGATATTTGAGATCACACACACACACACACACACACACACACACACACTTGAAATGCCTGAAATCTTACAGCTAGATATGAGAATAATGTGATAGTGCTTTCTCCCCCAAATTTGATGACACCCCTAAAATATACAAGGTATTATCAGCAATGAACTATGTATGACAATGCCTTTTTTTTTTTTTAAGCAGGCTCCATGCCCAAAGTGGGGCTTGAACTCATGACCTCATGATCGAGGGATGAATGCTCTACCACTGAGCCAACCAGGTGCCCCGACAATGTCTTTTCTAATTGTTAATAATAAAAACAAGTTTTAATTAGCCATCCTAGAGGAAAATCTGAATTATCTTTCTATTTCCTCTACTGAAAATGATATTACATAAGTGGCCAAACAAAAAGATGATTAAAGAATGTGTCCCTACCCCTCAAATAAATTAATAAGAAAAATATTATGTAAGAGCACCAGCTATTTGTTTTCGTAGATTTGGTGATGTTTGTGACATTTTCTAGCTTTAAAAAATTTACTTGTTTTGGCTCCCTTTCATCATTCTAGATATATATTCACTTTTGTACTTACTTTTGCATTTGCATTTGTAATCTCATATTAGTTTTCTTAAGGAAAGTCACTTAAGTGATAAAAGCTTTGGGCCCCATAAAACCAGGATCTGACTCTAATTCCTGTACTCTGGTTAGAGAGGTAATCACTCTCTGTTCTTTTCCCAGTGTGGTCCTGTATCATTTGACATTCAGGGGTAAATGTATGTGTATGTGTGTCTATGTGTGTATGTGTGTGTTTTGTATAGCTCTGGGCATGTGCTTCATATCATATATATATATATATATATATATATATACACACACACACACTATGTGTATGTAGTATGTATATAATATACTTATATTTTGTATATATACTATATATTATGTGTATTATATACCTATATTACTTGTATATAATACATATACTATATATTTTGTATATAACTATATGTGTATTATATGTATATATAATGTATAGATATGTATATATGCATATAGTATGTACATATATTATACATATATAATATATACTATATATTTTGTACACATACTATATATATTATGTGTATTATATGTGTGTGTGTGTGTGTACTGGGATTCACCTCAGTAGCTTCTTGAAAACCAAATTTGGGCATCCCGATGCTGGGAAAGTGAAAGAGACTGAGTTTCCCCTGCGATGTGGTCAGGCCCTTAGATTTCCTTAGTGCTAAATCAGACCTCATCTCACAAACTGACGGTTGTACCTGCTACCATTACACAATTTCACACAGGAAGAGGCCTGAGTCCTGGTGAGAAAAAGAAAGAGAGAAAGGGAGAGAGAGATTCTCCTAGAGAGGTGCTAGAATGTGGAGGTAGGTGAATTTTTGTCTGCTGTAATGGTTTTAGTTGAAGGGGAAGTGTGTCTTCTCAGCCTCGGATTTCCTCCTTCAGACAAATAAGGCCATATAAGGTAAAGAGTGGATATGTACTGTGAGAGAGGAATCACCTCGCTGCTGAGCCTACTGTTCTGGAGTCAGGCTTTGCTCTGTCTCATGAGTCCACCTTTTGAATCTGGGAATAATTTTCTCCCGGCTCCGTGGGCCTTCCCTCATTCCTCTCAGATGCACATTTCTCCCATAATACCCACCTTCTCAGCCTCTCTCTATCTCCTCAAGATTTAAGTGTCAGGAAAGGACTTGACCATTGTCACAATGAGAGGAAAGGAAATAACATCCTAATTTGTACGTCTCTAGTGGGGGAAGTCGCTTATACAAGAATCAGAGCTTTAAGCTAAAATAGTACGTATTTAACAGTGGCATTCCCAGCACTAATTAAAAGATTTGAGATGGCTTCTTGCCTTCACGGAAGTTCTCTAGTTGATATATGGTCAATATTCTCTGATGTTTAGATTGTATAAAGATTACATGTTAGAAGCATTCAGCTTGCTTTGTAATATTTCCATCATCAGTCCTTTTATTTTTTTAAAGATTTTATTTATTTGAGAGAGAGAGAGCATGAAAGGAGGTAGGGTCAGAGGGAGAAGCAGGCTCCCCGCTGAGCAGGGAGCCCGATGCGGGACTCAATCCTGGGGCTCCAGGATCATGACCTGAGCCGAAAGCAGATGCTTAACCAATTAAGCCACCCACGTGCCCCCATCATGTCTTTTCACATGAATAGTAATTCCCTTGCTGCTGTGTGAAGATAAAAATCTGAAGTAAATATGACGATACAAGTAAATAGATCCAATACTTAGGACTGCACTGTCTTCAATTAAACAGAGACAGAGACTGGGCTTTTCACTGAGCGACTGTGTATCCTGAGAGCAACGATTTGTGAACTGGTCCCAGCATACATGTGTCTGGGATTCACCTTCCTGGCGCTTCCTTTTGCTGGGAGAGGGGACAGAGACTAAGTTTTCCCCGTGATATCACTAGGCCCCTTGGGACAGAACAGATGTGTCCACTTACCAGTGAGGTCCATGGTGATTGGTCCTGGGGCACTCTCACACACCAGGGTAAGCCGGGTAACCGTGACATTGGGGGCTGTCGGGTCTGCAGGATTCAAAAGAGAACGTAAGCCTAGGGCAGAGACATGTGTGTGCAGTGTGTGTACATTTCAAGTCGGAGAGAGGGAACACAGGAAGAGTGGTATCTCTGTCTGGAGTGGCAATAGAAAGGCAAGTGGCAGGTTCCCCATGTTGGGCTCAATGGCCTTATAAATTAGAGCAGTGCTATTTCTGCTTCAGGCACTTGGAGGTCCACCTTAGTTGTCAACAGCAAACATTTCCTGGGTGGCTGTGGGCAAGTTCCTCTGCTAGATGGGCACTGTCCCTGTCTACCTTATTCTGTCGTTGTGTCTGTGGAAGAGATGGAGTATTAGGTAAGGAAGGAGTGAGAAAGAGAAAGAGGAGAAGGAGAGAAAATGTGAGAGATGGAGAGAATACAGTTCTAAGTGGTAGTCGGGGGTTCTTTCTAATTCCTCCGCATGTGTACTTTTTGCCTATTTCAATGCTGACTTGCACTTTATCTCCAAAAAAGACTTCATCCTACGGTCTTTAACTTTATGCAGCACATATAGACTGTGCCTCACTCGCTTAGCTCTGACAACACGTGGTCTCTTTCTTCTACACCTGCCCCCCATCCCGCTCCACACACACACACCTGCCACCACAGGGCCGTCCCCCAGGAGTGTTTTCTTGTACTTGATCAGACTTTCGTCATCTTTGTCCATCTCCTGTAGCTCTTTCAGGGACTTCTGGGGTGGAGGCTTGTAATTGAGCTTGCTGTCCAGCTCATCGACATCCTCTTCCAGGTGTGTTTCTGGGTCCTTTTCAGTCATTTTGATCTATTTCAGAGAGAGGGAGAGAGAATGATAGTCCATTAGCCAAAAGTCAATGGATATGAACAAGTTTGTGGGGCTGCCGGTAACACCATCCTTGCCCTCACGGACTTCTGTAATCATCAGTGATTTTCCAGGATATTTTTTCCTAATCTCATCTCATTATTTTTTTTATGCAATAAGCGGAGAATGCCTTTGGTCTTTTCTCTGACCTTCTTGAATTTCTCTGTACCATGGCAAATGTCTCCTATTCACCGAATAAAGCTGACCAGAGAGAAATAGCTGATTTGTGAATAATGTCCAAGTGAAACAACATAACACAAGCAGTCCCAAATAATGAGCAGAGAGCCCCAGTTCAAACAATTATAGGAATAACTGCGGTCCTCTTAAGCCAGCCACTCCTCTAGTGTCCAAGCTCTTAGCATCGTACAATCCCGGTTGTGATGGTTTCAAAACACAGGGGGTCAAAGAAACGGTTGGCTTCTTCCCAGTAATTGAATCTTTCCCTGAAATCCTGCGATACTTCAAAGGTAAGTCGTGCAACGTTGTAACACCTGCCCAAGTTGTCTGAATGGTTCCCATCCAGCACTGCTAATAACTCCCTGAGGGCAGCAAGTACCAGGTTCTGTGCTTCTCTTGAATCTCCCATGATAATCGAATAGTTTAAGCATTTTATAAACCCCCCTGGTTTGACTTATTTGGCTCTGTATCTAAAGATCTTCTGTTCTTTTGAAATGGCATAAAATAACAAAAGACGCTTTAAATTCCTCCAGAAAAAATGTGAAGGATTAGCATGTCTTTATTTTACCTTTACCTTCCATTGATCTCCCTTTTCTGGATCCCCTTCCCTTTTAGTGTCTTCCTCCTCTTGCCAGATGACTAGTGATGTTATTCTCTAAGGCCTCACCTCGGTATACCCAGGAGTCTGTCTTCTTCCCTCATCCTCTACATTTACTTGTTATGTGTTAAAATATGGAGGGGAGATTCTAATAAAATGATTCGCACTTAATTGTTAGTGACTGAATAATAGATTTAAAAAATTATTCGTTTTAAGCCGTGTATAGTCAGAGATTTTCAGAGCAGAAAGGAACCCTAGAGGTGAGATATTCCAACCTGTCATGTAATCATTGAGAAAATTGAAACTCAGAGGTTAAGAGAAATGCCCAAATTTCCATAGCTGGATGAACTTCAGTGTCCTTAAATAAATAGGAAGGAGTCTCAACTGGAAGAATTTCAGCCCGTGGCTGGCAGCAATGGAGCTATTTGGGGAAATATGGGAGGTATTTGGGCAAGCAGATAATTTCCTGATTTCCTGCAGTCCTCCCTCGAGAGTGTCCTCCCTGCCTGTGGTTAAAGACTACATTGTTCCTAGGTGGTACAACTCTAGACAATATCTAGCACATCTCATCCTGAGTGAGCCTGCAAACCTCTGTCAAGTTCCCCAGGGGCTGAAGCTATCTCTGGCCCAAATCAGCTGTGGTTTTGAGTTTCAATGTCTCCCTCACTGGCATCAGAAAGGAAAATAATTTGGAAGGGAAGCCAAACAAAAACAACTTTAACAGAAAAAGAAGGAAAAAACAGAGAATAAAAAGAAATGATATCCCTTGGCTCATCGATCCTCTTCTAACAAAATAAGAAGCCAAACACCATGAGCTTGATCAAGTCTGCAAACAGCATTGCAATGCCCAAGTCCACTTCCTGTGCAGGAAGGAAGCATGCAGGCTTGTTCCTATGGCAACTCTTTCCTCAGCTGAAGACTCAGCACCACTCATAGCTGAGCCTCTCGAGACAGCATAATAGATATCGTGACCAGCTCAACTCATATTCCAAATAACACTCAGGGAAAGTGAATGAACTGGTTGGAAAAATAATGAAGGATGCAGTGGTTGGAGATTGTAGGTTGTGGGTAGCTTGAGGACAATCATTAAGGGCCAGATGAAGAGCAACCCAGATGAGATTAATCAGAAGAGAGAGGTTCTCCTCTGGTGACACCCAGGAACCGGTGTGCCTGGGTGACTTGGTCAGTTAAGTGTCTGATTCTTGGTTTTGGCTCAGGTCATGATCTCATGGTCCTGGGATCGAGCCCTGCATCCGGCTCCACACTCAGTGCAGAGTCTCCATCTCCTTGTCTTTCTCCCTCCTCTTCTGTTCCTCCTCCCACTCTCTCTCTCTCAAATAAATAAATAAAATCTTAAAAAAACCAAAAACCATACATCAGGAAGCCTATCTACAGATAAGGATGTCTTGGCCCTCTTGGACAGAACTCTCTGGAATATATCGCTTGGTTCTAACAAGTCATCTGCTTGAAGTCTGACCATCAGAAGATAACACCACACCTACCCACTACCTAGCTCAAGGTGATTTCCATACCTGCAGGGAGTTGTTATTCTGCACCCTGAGATCTCAATTTTGAAAGGAGAATGAGAGAAAGAGAGAGAGAAAGGGAGAGAAAAAGACAAAGACATGATCTAGGACAGGATTCAATAACATCTGTGTGATCACTGGCAAGTCAATTTCTCAGTCATCTAGATCTTGATATTCTTATTAATAAATCTGAGACTAATCAGCTGTCATGCCCTGAGCAAACGGTTCACCCACTGTGGATCTTATTCTCCTTCTCTTGAGGTTTGGGGGGGTTGGAGCAGACCACCTCTAGGTGCTTTTCCTTTCTAAGTTCTCCATCTGTAGATTTGTCTTGCCCTGAGGTCGTGCGTCAGCTGAATTGCAGGCATTCGGTTACCTTATTTCACTTGTGTACAGAAGAGACGTATCCAATCTCTGTTTTATTATCTCAAATTTGTGTGAAGTCCCCAAAGAAACAGCCTTTTTAATTTCACAGTTCATCTCTGGGGAACCTCAGATTCTGCCAAAGCTTCAGCCATCATGGCTTATAGAGTTTGATAATGATTTCCCAAACTCTATGTGTGTACATATTTAACCGCACCTTATTAGTCCTCTCTCTTTATCCCCCCATTTTACAGTGGGATATGCCTGCGAAAGGGAGAACGGGCATTTTATGGAAATTCTACAGACTACCTTCGAGTATCATCTAAAGAACAACTGGCTTTATTATTGATGATGATAATTATAATAGTTACCATACATAATGCTCAATTCTGTTGCGAGGATTAGCTCATCAGTCCTCACTACAGCCTAGGGGCAGGCATGGTCATCGTTCTCTTCTATAGGTTAGGAAACTAAAGCTCAGACAAGTAGCTTGCCGAGGATGACCTATCGTGTAAGGGGCAGAATCACTGGGCCAGCTCGTCTGGCTCACAGGCACTATGCTCTGTTGCTCTACCTGTCTTTAGTAAGAAGTAAAAATGAAATTATAGAACCTATTAGTTATCTTGGAAATCTATCCGGAGGGTGCACAGGCAGCAGGAAATGTGCTGTTTGGCAAAACTCTGCCGGCTTTAGCGAGGCAGGGAAGTGTCACATAAAGAGGGTTTCAGGGCCACTCTGCCCCATGTCCCCTTGCACAAGTCCCTGACCCTTTCTGCGCTCCAGTTTTGTCCTCGGCAAAATGAAATCATTGCCTTAGAAGGACCTCTGAGGCCTCTTCCTAATTCAATGACTCGAACGCTCCTTAATTTAAAGAAGCCTCTGAAACAAGAAAAGAGGAAGTGGAGGTGGGGTTGGGGAAGACCCAGGCCATCTGTGTAGAACATTCTGGCTGGCCTTTTCTCACCTTCCTCTGCAGCTCACCCACTGTTCCACAAAAAGCAGAGTTGTTTCATTTGCTTGGAGGTCGTTTTGACGTTGGTTTTTTTACACAGTAAAAGTGAAATGGAGAACGAAGAATTACATGTTTAACAAGGTTAGTGTGCGCCCCATCAGGACCCAAAGCACATAGCGGTTTTGTGTGTGTGCATGTGTGTGTGTGTGTGCTTACTGCTCATTATCTTTATCTTCTGCTTCACAGATGCCTCCACAGATGACTTTTCACAGTGAGCCCCTCACACCCTCATGTTTGCTATGCAGCAAAGCAGTGTAAGCTTGGGGTATGCTGAGATAGAAACTTAATTCTCTCAGGCTCAATTAAAATGCCACATTAAATTAGAGCGGTCACTCATGGTGTGACTGCCATAGCACAAATTGGTGGTTTTGCTTGCAAATCCAGTGCATTGTCCGAGACACTGAAAGTGAAATACACTTAAGAATTTGCACCCATCTCAGGATAGAGCCCCCTTGTCTGGTTCATTGATGCAGTTCCAAAGCAGCAGGGGGCAAGGAAAGGTGAAACTCTTGAGTTCAGATGAAACAGATCACCTGGTTAATTCAAAGAAAGGTAATCTTTAAGGCCTACTAGGACCTGGACTTTGAGTTTGGTGGGCCAGAGATTCAAAATGTGGTTCTGCGTTGCCTTATTGCAGGACCTAACTAAGCAAATGATCAGCCTCGCTCAGCCCCAGATTTTCCACCAGTAGTGTGGAAATAATGCTCTTTCTTTATGGGGTTGAAGAGTTGGGGAAACACATGAAAAGCTCTCAGATGATCCTGGCCAATAGTAGGTGTTCAATAAACTACCCGGTCTCTTCCTCCAAACCCTGCCCTGCGGGGCTGTCTGTCATGAGGCACAGCCTCTGTGAAGTGAGGTAGCTGGCTGCTGAGGCACCAAACGCTTTCCCTCGTCTCTGCGGTGTTGACAATGTCCACTCCTTCCATCTTAAAAATAGATTTTGTTTCTTTAAGGAGTACGGAAGACACAAGAAGTTCTGGGAATTGCGAGAACTGTTTATTAACTGAATCAAGCTTAAAATGGGAATGTCACTATTATATTTCTTTAAAAACTTCCTCACGAACATTTTAATTTTAGATTCTATTTATTGCTCCCTTTCCTCATTGAAGCCAGAGTTCACTCTGCGAATGATGAGAAATGACAAAAGACAACAGGCACAATCAGTGGAGAGAATTCCCTTTGGCTCTGGAGCAAAATACTGTGGAGACTGAACTCATGTTCCAAAGTTGCCAGATCATGCCTTTAGATGCACAGGTCATGAATA